AGAGAGAGAGAGAGAGAGAGAGAGAGAGAGAGAGAGAACTGTAGGCTCTGAGGTAGTATTTGGTGCCAGAGAAAAATACTTCTATTTTTTAAAATGATGTATCTAGAATTCTGCTCTTTCAGTGCCATATTTGAACAGAGTTCACAATCTTTTCTAATAAAAATCTGTTCCTAGGAACCCTTAAGCATTTTTCATTTCAGCACTGTAATTTAGGACAGGAGGGGTGTCAATCATTGTTAAACAATTGGGAGTCAGTCCCTGGGGGGATTAAAAAAAGTCAAGCTGACAGTTGCAGCAGTATGATAGAAGTCTTGCCCTTTTACTACAAGTGTTGACATTGCAGGTATATAAAAGGGGTGGGGCTTTGATCATGCTCCTATGACCATTATCTTGACCTTTTTGACCCCCCTCCTGCAGACACCACTGGCTAGAAATCCAGTAGAACTTGGTTGAGCATTATCCTGACCTTGGTTTGCATTTTGTCTCCTTCCTCTGGGTGCCACGTAGAATTGCCGACACTTGTGTGTCCACATGCCTAATACTGCAATCACACAAACCCTTTGGCAATCCTTCCACAATTCAGGAGGGAAGAAAAGTAGCATATTTGCTAATCCCACATTCTCCATAATGGTCCCCTAACATGGTACCACAGCTCTCCATCTGTTGTGGTTGTACTTATATGGGCACCTCACAAGAGTTAGAGCCTGTGTTCTGATGCCTCTAAATCCCATGAAGAATCTACAAAAATACAAGCTTTAGAAAAGCTTGGCACCTTTCAGATATGTTGGGGCCTGGAACTCCCTGAATTCATAGCTAACAGGGTCTTATGGCTACATTTATTCCCAACATGTCCTGAGGGCAACAATTGATAAAGGCTAGAGTTGGGCAGCACCACCACTTGTGGCAACCTCATGACAATACTTTACAACATTTGTGGCATTTGTGTGGTGTCTGTTGATACACATAGGCTAAGCTAAGCTAGGCTAAAACAGAACAAGTTATTTGTAATTCATGAATTGAGGAGATTCAGCCATTGTCTTACATTATTGTGTGAACCAGGCTGTCGCATGAAACTGTAGAGTGGTTTATTGGACAGAGCATGGCATGGGAACCCAGGAATTGGATTGGTTAATCCAGATTCAGAGTTCAGTATGTGGCACGAAGTAACAATGCAGGCAAGAAGGGAGTACCATGCAAAAATATTTTTCATAGGTTTCTACTTGACAGCAATTTTATATGGAAGAAACCTTATCAGCAGCATCAGTTTGTTCTACAGGACAGTTACAGCCCAACACCCACCATAGCCACCTTTTCTGGAAGGAGGAGTGTCTGTGGAAGGATAAACCATTTGACATTTGTCATCCTACAGTGCTTTACTCTGGCTCTTGATAGGTTCACAGCCACAAAGAAGCTTACTCATCAATGAGTTGGCTGAAAGGTCAATTACAAATCCCAATCTCTCCCTTCTGTTGCTGATGTCTAAACTCTCCTGAGGGTATGGTGACATCTGCCACCTAATGAGGTTCCAGCCCTGTGGTTCTTTGCACAGTGACAAACTTTGGAGAAAACAGGATGGGGGAAGTATAATTGGAAGAAATTATACTAAGTGCCCCCAGGAGGTATCCCAGAAAACGAGGTGTGTGAATACACCTTTACAGTCATGAACTTTCATACCTTTGAGATTATATATTGATTTAAAACAGTAGAAAAATGTCCATCAGAAAGTTTCACTTATTTCCAAACTGTTCCACATTTCGAAATGGCAGCTCTATTCTTTTTGAGATAAATTGTCCTGCCGTTGTTTGGGCTAGTATTTCCCACTTAATGAAAGCCTCAGCAGCAACGGTATTAACAGTAGTAATTAAAACTCACAGCTGTTGTCCTGGTTGCACTGCCAACTTTATACGTGCAGAGTAAAAAAAAAAAAAAGAGAGATACTCTCCAGAACCCTTTACTTTATGAGAGGGCTGTGCTCATGAGCAAAAGTCACTTTAGGCCTCTGTACTTTGAGGCGGCAGTTGCCTTCTAGATATTGTTCTCTGACAATGTCCAGTTAGTGCTCCTCCTAAGATTGTTTTACTTTTGTCATTGCTAGTTGGCTTCCAAATGTTGTGTTCCTTCTGCAGTCCATCCAACTGCTGCCATCTCCCACTCTTAATGCCCCTGTTTTGCTGCCACTTTAAATGTATACCCATATGTAAAATGGTAACACTGTTGTTGGCAAGGCAGCAAATGATGAATGAGATTTATCAAAATCATCAGTGAGACATAACTTATCAGAGGTAAAGCCTAAACTGGACTCATTAGGCTTATCAATGTCCTTTACCTCTATGAAGACCACAACAGGTTAGTACAGAAGGAAGGGATGCAAACTGTAAGGTTTTCTGAAATAACTATTATGGTATTTCTGATGATCAGCTTAATGTTTTCTCATATGAACACCATATAGCAATATACTGATTCAATATTGTTTCTCCTCCTCTCCTCAGTATATGATGATATAATCCAGGGATTGAGTAGAGTCAGTGGTGAGTAAATGTTACTTTTATTTATTTATTTATTTATTTATTTAAAAGATTTGTATGGCCACCCATCTTAAACAAAACTCTGAGTAGCTCACAACAA